TCTCTCTCTCTCTCTCTCTCTCTCTCTCTCTCTCTCTCTCTCTCTCTCTCTCTCTCTCTCTCCCTTCAATATGTCTGCATAGTTATCGTCACATCGAAAGAAAATTTTTTCAGCCCGCGTGTTTGTGGATAGGATAAAATCCTCGTATAACTCTAAGTTCGTCGTCGTTGTCGTCATCAGAAACCTTTAGTGTGAACCTGTCCGTTCCTGTTTTCCTCCAGCCAAATACCGTACGAGCTGGTAAATAATGGTTATTACACTCCGAAAATCTCATGTCTTCAAAACTTATATTCACTCGTAACCTATATTTTTCCCATACAAAAAATGTCAAACGAGTCGAGAAATTTATCTAAATTCACCGACTATGAGGCGCCAAGAAACCTTTCGCCCTAAGAAAAACGGGATTCTTCATATCCCGTATACAACCAGTAAAATTCCACAAAAAATCGGTTTTCTTCTCTTCGCTCCATCCCATATGAACAAAAAATCGCATTCCATTCTCGACAAGTATATTCCTTTTACAGACCCGTCATATTTCTTTTCGCAGTCGCCATTTTGTTTTCGGACTCCGATCGGTCCCAGACGCTTTCTCACCCTTCCCCTACGTCTAGCATTTCGACAACCAATCGCACACATGGGGCACTATGGGTAGAGCCAATCACGCGTCGGGCAGCTACGGAGCCAACCAATCAGAACACTCCCACTAATTACCTAATTATCATCTCCCATCCCCACCGACCAATCAGAACGCTCCATTTCCACGTGGCTGCCAGTTTTTGACCGTCGGGGGCCACGCCCCTAGCGCCAGTGGGAAGGTGGTGGGGGTTTGTTTTGACGCGCCATAGTGTCCCACTTACTACTGGATTAATCAGAAGCCTTAATGGTAACATATTTATTGTAAGATAAAATACCATGTATTTTGGACATTTAAGAACATTGTGAAAGATAACATACAGTGAAAAATAATTATGTAAAAAACATGTACAATTTTGAAGTGTTATATTTTATATACAAATTTTACCCCATTTTAGCCATACTAAATATGGCTATATGACTTTGTAACGGCATAATAGTATCGTCACTAGCTTAAACCGATCATCCGCTCGGCGTTCCTTGAATGCCACTATCCGAAATTTCCCACCGTGAGGATCTTCTCCCACCAAGGAGATATGTAAAGGTAGAGCAAGTCGGAGCGGTATATAAGCCGGCTCATCGGACGAGTTGGCACCAGTTCCCGTGTCGAATGAGAACACTCAGAGCACTCCCGAGCCTCGATCGAGACTTCCTTCTCGGCCTTCCTATCCTGACGAATCCACGGAGAGGGGTACTACCTCTCCGAAGCCAGGATGCTACCGGCGTTGGTCTTCCCAACTTCCCGACGCTACCGCGGAAAAGTGTGCTACCTCTCCGAAACCAGGGGTGCCCGGTGTCAGTAGCGTGTACACGCACGCGGAAGCCTTCGCTTTGGGCACCGCTGGCGGCTTGTAAATATTGTAAAGTCTACGTGTAAATAGCTAGTTAATAAGTCTCGCGTACACACGAATCCTCCATACGATCGTACCCCGCTTGCGCTGCTCGTATTTCGCTTGCGCCGTCATACGATCTCCTGTACGATTGTCCCTGTTTGCACCACTATACGATCCTCCCTTGTATCCTGTTTGCGCCGATCGCTGTACGAATCCTCCACATGAGTGTACCCCGTTTGCATCGCTATACGATCATACTTCGCTTGCGCATCCCGACCATTGTACGATCCTCCACACGATCGTATGCTATTAGCATACCAACTGCTACTCTCTTACTCCGCTTCTCTTATTACCGCTTGTAAATCTTGTATATTTGTCTATCTTCGTAAATAACATCATCGCTACACTGCTTACACACACGCGTACACACACATACCCATAAACACAAACGCGCGCACACTCACATACTCTCTGTATGATCAGTGATTCAATATGTGATATTTTCGTTAATCGATGTGTTGTTAATAAGCTTGGATCTCCCCCTTCTCCCAAATACTGGCACCGAGGTAATCCGCGACGTCGAGAAAGATGTATCGTTACAACTTCATCATAAAGATCTATTAGTTGTCTAGCATAAACAAAAATTTTTACACCTTAACCACTCAAAGTATATGACATAACTAACAATGAGAGAACAGTTCTTAAAACTTTAGTGATAGTTTTTCAGTTCAAAATAGAATTTATTTGTTCAAAAGTATATATTTTTTTACTATCATGAAAGCAAATTTTTAAATTTTTTTCAAAAAAGTTATATTTATCTAAAAAAATGTATATTTAATTATAAATAGGATTTTATTTTTAAAATAGGATTTTAAAATAAGATTTTTTATTTCGTAACGTATTTTTTAATTTAAAATGTTATTTACTTACAGAAATAAGGATATTTTTGTTTAATAAATTAATTTAATTTGAAGATAATATTTTTTCTAATTAAATCAATATTTTTTGTTTTATAAAGATGAAATGTTTTTAAATAAGAAAAAAATTGCAAACACAAAATCATCGTTTTCTTAGTCCAAATCTAATATTTTGAAATTATAATTTTTCTATAGGAAATTACATTATTACTTCATTTACAATTAGGATGTGCAATATAATATAGGCAAACAACTACTGTTTGGCAATCGTTTTGTAAATTTCTCTTATCTATTCTCCGTTTTTAAATTTTAATTAATTACTCTTCATTTTGATATTTTTAATTAGCTGTTATTTTCTGTTGCATATTTTCAGATTCCGATTATTGTTCCTTGGTAAAAGAAATTCCACCGTATGATGAAGGTCGACGATTGCTCGATCTGATGGACATGGCGGTTTTCGACTTTTTAACGGGTAACATGGATCGTCATCATTATGAAACGTTTAGAATTTTTGGAAATGATAGTTTTACATTACACCTAGATCACGGAAGAGGTTTCGGAAAACCTTTTCATGATGAGACGTCTATTTTAGCGCCTCTTTTACAATGCTGCATGATTAGACAAACTACTTTAAGTACTCTACTCCGGTGAGTAAACTTTTTTATTATTTTTATAGTAATGTATAATAATCACATACAATAACGACAAAATTATCTTAAACAAAAAATTAAAAAAATAACGCCAAGTTTATGTTCCCCTTTGCTTTCCTAATTTTAAAAAAAGTATTATATAAAAAAATTATTATAAAAAAGTATTAATATAAAAAAAATTTTCATATAAAAAAAGACTAATTTTTAGAAAAAAAAGTTTTTTATATAAAAAAAATAAGACAATTTTTAAAACAAAGGTAATATCAAGAAATCGCCAATTTCTAACTTCATAAATCAAAAAGAAGTTATACGAAAGTGAACAAAATTTTATAAATCAAAAACTAACATCAACTTATAATTTGTCAATATAATTTAAGAGAATTATTATATGTCTATATGAAATATAAAAAAAATCTGCAAAAGTAATTTGCAAAGTACTAAATTAAATAAAAGTAGTTTCATATCAATAACTAAGCACCAACAATTATCAATAAAATCTGATATTATTTTAATTATTATACTTGGTTATATAATATAAAAACATGTGATGTGTTATAATAATAAGATTTAAAATTTTTTGTTAAAATATTATTTTTTATAACTTTTCCAACTAACAAGCTTTTAATTTCCAAAATAATTTTAGTAAAACATTTTTATATTATATAACAAAATGACGCTACTTTCTGATATCATATTTGTTATACTAATAAAAGAATAGTTCATTCTTTTTTTTTTTCAAAGAAATTGGAAACAATGAATATAAATTTGGAGTCATTTTTTACTTTTTTAAAAAGATAATTTTGTTCTAATATTATATTTATTTTTGGTAACTGTACGAGCTTATAATAGACAATCGAATCGTTCTCAACTAACTTCTTTATTTTACTGATTATTACAATTTGCTCAGTTCGCTTGTTTAATCTCGACTCTCACTTTTTGTCGCACGCTTGTCTATTTATAAAAGTATCAGGTATTGTCCTATCTAATAAACAAACGATACGTTGCTTGTCTCTTATTTGTTATTTCGATCGCAGATATATCGCGACCTTTTTATCAACTCCTGGATGAAATTCGATTATTTTGCCAAGTTTCTATTGCAAAGGCGTATTGTCATTTACAATTAAAACTATGTCATTAATAATTAAATTTTCTCTTTCGATCGTCCATTACATTTACATTTGCCCTGCAATGACGTTAAATATTCAAGACTCCATCGCTTCCAAAAATGTTGAGTTATACATTGAATCAATTGCCATCTGTCAAGCCTATTAATAGGGATATTTAATATATTAACATCTGGTAAACAAGTGATTTTCCTATTAAAAAATGTGCAGGTGTCAAAGCTTGCAAGTCGTTAGAATCAGAGGACAATTGACATAATGATCTTGATTTTAAACAAGCTTCAATTTGAGCTAAAACAGCAATAAGTTCCTCGAAGACAAGCCGCGTTTCGCCAACAACTCTTTTTAAATGATATTTACACAATTTTATTCCTGTTTCTCAAATACTATGTGAGGCGCATAGGGGGGAGGGGGGAGATAAATTTCCATTCAATGCGTTGAGATGTACAATATTCGATGTACATCTATCGATTTAGAAAATGTGCTGATTGCCCAGTATAATTCCTCAAGCTCTCTTTTTGCGCCGCCACAAAATTAGTGGCATTGTTGCTATAAATTTTTTAGATAACTTTGTCTGCTTACAAAACGATGCAATACAGCTAAAAACACATTCGATATTAACTCGCTGACCGCCTCTAAATGAATTGCTTCAATCGAAAAACATATGAACAACGCAATATATGATTTCCTTTGTCCTCGGCCTTTATTTGCAATTGTAACGATAGGACCAGCATAATCAATACCCATTATCGAAAATGCTCGTTGACAGGCTGTAAACCTATCAGATGGCAATGATCCCATTATTTGGTCTGACAATTTTGGTTTAACTTTAAAACAAATTACGCATCTCTTTACTATTCTACGAGCAATGTTACGATCGTTTAAAGGCCAAAATTTTTCCCGAATTGAAGAAAGCTTGTGGATCGGCATGAAGCATACGACAATGTTCTCGCCCAAATAATAAGTCAGCAAATTGACACTTTGCAGGCAACAAAATTGGATGTTTTTATCATGATTGATAGCAGATCTCTACAACCTGTCGCCTACCCTAAGAATTCTGTTTTTATCTAGAAATGGACTCATATATGTAAGCGCGCTGCTGTTACTCACGATCGTTGTTTAGATCATCTAAATCTCTTGCAAAAAATTATTCTTGCACATGCTTAATTAATTTTAATTGCGACAAATGTAATTCCTTTACTGACAAATAGCCAAAATTGCGGTTCTTGAAATTGTTTCTAGAATTTGTAATAAATCGATAACACCAAGCAAGTACTCTTTCGATTTTAGTTAATGATAAGAATTTAGAAAACATTCAATTATCGATTCAGAATTAGCTCGAGCAACAAAAATTCATATATTTTCTTTTTCTTCAAATCGTATAATGTCAAATTCCTGATCGGAAAGTTCCTGATCGTCCTTGTCTTAATATGATTCTATAAATTCCGAAAGCCACGGTGGAGTGCCCAACCACAATAATGAATTGTTATAAAAATTGTCGAAATTAATACCTTGAGAAATTAAGTCCGTGGAATTTTCTGTACCTGCAACGTGTCCCCGACTGCTGGGTAAAATAGATTGAATTTTGTTGACTCTATTGCAGACATGTTTTCTGTCGACTCGTTTCCCTTGTGATCTATGCGAGAACAATCGACGGATCGCTCCACGCAAAGATTTTATAATTCTCAATAATTAATGATTCACGAATAATCTGAATCAAATGGACAACAAAACGGCTCCACTAATTCCAATCGCGGAATAGTTAATTTTTTAACTGGTGCCACGTGCGACTTAACGCATAACAATCTCGACGCAACTCGATTTGCATCGTCATTGCGTGCTTGCACACAAATACACGCACCATAAGCACGTTCTGATGCGTTACAAAACGCATACAGACTGTTATACATCAGATTTCGAACACTGATAACTTGTCTCGGTATTCGCTCAATATTCGCTCGGTACTCGTTGTATAAATTTTCTTCAGTTACATTTTGAACATACTCTAGCCATATCTACTGTAAATCTGCCGGTAAATTGTCATCCAATCAAGATTCAATTGCCACATAAATTGCATTATTAATTTTGCTTTTATGATTATCGAACTCGCTAATCCCAACGGATCAAATAATTTTGAAATAGCAGACAATACGTTTCGCTTTGAATTATGCGTAATTTGAATTTTGCGTAATTATGCGTAATTTGAGATTCGAATCGCAATTCATTGCTGCTTGGTTGCCATGGTACCTAATGTTTTCGTTACATCTCGCTCATCAGTTATAATCTGAAAGTCAGTCTTAGTGTCAATCTTATTTGTTCTAAGGAGTAATTTGCTATAGTTTGATCGTCACTTATGTTCAAATTGTCCGAGTTTTAATAAATCTGTCAATTCTTCAATTAAAATATTTGCTTCATTAACATTATCTACTCTCGTTAAAATATCGTCAACATATAAATCTCGAAGTAAGACTTGTAATACTTGAGGATACTGACTTTCACCCGCCAATTGTCGAACGCTTCTTATTGCTAAAAACAGCGTATAAAATTATCCATAAGTTACTGTATTTAATCGATATTCTTGAATTGGCTCGTCTGGCGAAAAGCGCTATTTGCTGATAATCCTTATCATGTTCATCGACAAGAATTTATCGGTACATTTTTTGTATATCGGCTACAAATGCACTCGAAAACATAAAATAATGTTAATTAATGGCTCCTGTAAAGTAGCACCAACCATTAACGTGTCATTTAAAGATAAGCTAGTTTTAGACGAGACATCAAAAACAACGCGAAGCTTCGTGTTAACAGATGACTCACGATACACATCGTGATGAGATAAATAAATGGCTCCGCTTGTCAGCAGTTCTCGGAACGATAATTATATGCCTTAAACTTATTCTTGCATGAATTCTATATATAGCTTCCGATACATTATTACTTCTAAATTTAGCGTTCTAAATATAGCGATTGTCTCTCCGTAATCGATTGCGACTCGCCAAACTTATTATTTCTGAAAGGCAATCGCACAACAATTCTATCCTCTGCGTCTCGAGTATATGTGTCTTTAAATATTTCTTTGCATGCACGTTCTTCACTCAATAAAATTGTATTGTGCGGATCATTTTGGAGATGGGTCAACTCGGGAGTCGACTGCAGGATTTTGGTGTCACACGAGTACACTTTTCGTTCTTAATAAACTTGATTGAACTTTACACTCTGCACTTATTAATTCGGCCCGCGACAGACGTCACGGCAATACAGAATCTTAACGAGTCCCGCTGCTAGCACCGGTCTCCCGTTTTTATCCTGTTTCAGACGGCCGGTCCTTGCAGCGTAATCATAATGATCATCAGCGTTCGCGGTATATCTTCAGATCGCGCGGTAGCTTTCCGCATAAAGCCCGCG